TGAAAGCTTTGACACATCAACAAAAGTATCTTGAAAATATTTTTCTTTGATATATAAAGGATAAAGCTGTAAGTTGAAAAAAAAATGACAGATAACTCAAATAAGTAACTATGCTACAAACTAAACCTCGTCGAATATATTGTTCTTAGAAAAGATTAAGAAGTCTCAAAAAATATTTGATGATTACATAGTGTATGAATCTATTATATCAACTACAGCTTGAAATATAATTTCATACTTGATGAAAATACTTATTTTAATAGAGAGAGACAGATAATTTATATACAAAATTGCATTTAGTTTTTTTTTCTTTTTGCGCTCGAATCATTTGTTTTTGTTTTTGTGTCGTTCTCTCACTTTTTGCTCATAACTTCGGCTCTCAATCATGTTTGTTAGGACCAAAACATTTATCTTTAGATATCTAAATTTTTACAAAATAAAGTGGATCGAAAAATTAACGAGATAGCAATTAGAGAACGATAATCATCAACGACATTCTTACATGCACTAGGATAACGTTTTTCAAAACGATTATGTACAACACTAACACACCAAGGATATCGACAAACATAACGTTACTTCTAAAGACTTTTTACTTGATAATATTGTTTCTAAGCTTCTTGTTAGATTTGTACGTCTAACAAGAAATATCCATCACCAAGAGGAGAAATATCAACTTACAATCAAGGCATGCTCAACGACATGAAACACTGGACCCTGCATTCCAATCAGCTCGACAAGTGGAACAGTTTATGTGCCATTCCCCTCTCCCGCAAGATTCCTATTAGCCTGGCCAGCAGGCCTTCTTGCAGCATGAGCACCATTTCTCTCCCCTTCATCTTCTCTCTCTTCTTGTCCTCCCAACTCTCTCAAACGCCTAAAGTAATCCCACAATGAAATTGCTCCAAGCAAAATGAAGCAAATACTAGATGATAGTAAGAGCCCGTGCAAACAATCAGTGAGGATTACTGTGGTGGAGATGTGGCTTAAGAACAAGCTCTGAGCTTCACCAAAACTCCGCACAAAAGCCAATCGACATTGCCAAAATGGAACAAAAGGAACAGCGAGAAACCAGACCGCAAGCACAAAACTTAACCGCAGAAAGAACTGCAAAACACGGCAAGTTTTCATGGCAATGCCAGCTACAAACTCCTAGAAAGGAAGCCTTGTGGAGCATTTTGAGCATACACTTGGGTGAATGAAAAAGGATGCTTACAAACCTGCCAAGATCAAATGAACAAAAAGCTTCAATCGCTCTATTGAAACCATGTCATTCATGAACTCAGATAAGGATTCGATGTAATATAAACATAAATAAATAAAAAGTCTTTAAACTGTAAAATTAAGGCTATTGGAGCTCAGTACTGAGGGGAAAAATACATGACATGATGAGTGCCGTCTTAGAAAATTTGAGGACCCAGGGCGAAATATGAAATTTGGGCCCTTTTAAATCAGAAAAATGTTTGTCTACTGAAAAAAATGCATTGCTAGTTTGTATCCAGATCTTCATAGAAAGCTCTTCGAAGGTCCGTTAAACTGCATTCTTGTAAGTTGCACCAAGAAGCTCGCCAAAACTGAAACAAACAAAAAAAGTATCAATTATTTTAAAAATTGAAAACGATCACATGAAACGCTTCTTTCTAGCTTTAGTTGATGCAAAATCATTGATAATTGTTTCAAAAACCATACTCTCTAGAACT